TTTAACAGATCTTCGCTGTTGGTTTAGGGGATAAAAATATCCTGACTGTCCGTTGATTTATATTACATTGAAAGGTTTTCTTCTTCCTCTACCAGAGGGATTTTAAGTTAAAAGGAATTGGACAATTGATCCTAATTCCTGCCTATATCTTTAATTAGTATTTTTTTCATTTCAATTTATAAAACATTTTTATTTTAATTCTATTTATAGATACATTTATAATTTTTTTATTCATTTTTACCCCCTTGTCTCTATGAAATATTGGTAAGATTATTAAATAATGGAGTATTTTATTTTTAAAGTACATATATGTACTCCATTTAATCTATAAGACACTTTTAATTGCTTAATTAGAACTAATGAATGATAATTAACTCATTAAATCTGTCTAAAAATAAAATAAAAAATTCAACTTTACTCCTATTAAAAGTAAAAAGAGAGAGATACAGAGTATGTGATGAGTCATAAAAATTAAATTTACAATATGGATAAAATTAAAAAATGATCATAATTTCATAGCATGAACTTGAGGGAGCATATAGTAAGGATAGAGTTGGAAACTTGTTTCATTTTTAAATAGAATTAATGAGATTTAAAGTTTTTAAATTTTTTGTGAATTAAACATGCTAAAACCAGAGGGAGTTTATATTGAGATGCAATTTTTTAACAGATGTATTTGAAGAATTACATAAAAGAAAACTAATAAATGAACCAATTAGATTGGACGCGAGAACTAATCAAATTAGCTACGTATTTCCAATCGCTTGTGTTGTTAGTTAAATTAACCCAAAAAAAAAAGGGCTGATATATGGTGTCCTGTGTAATAAATTTATAGTATCCATGGAATCCGTGCTTCCGCCTGTTATGATGCGCATAAAATATGTAATTATGGTCATTTAATTAAAACATATCTATCCCTTTCTAATTTATTTGGAGCTTTTTTTTTCCCCTCTTAAAAAAAAAACACCCTCTAACTGTTTACCTGGCCTCTTGGACATGATCCATTTATTATATATTTTGGGCGAGAAGACCTGTAAGTCATTCAACTTCGATCCCCTAATCACATGGGCGTTGCAGCTTCTTCAACCTCCTCAAGCTCCTTTTCTTGTCCATCTTCTCAAAAGAAATACGATGTGTTTCTTAGTTTCAGAGGCGAGGAGACTCGCAGAAGCTTCACCAGCCATCTTCACACTTCTCTATGCCTGAGAGGTATCGAAGCTTACATAGAGTATGAGCTCACGAAAGGCGATGATATCTCCCAATCACTCATCCTGGCCATTGAGGATTCAACTATATCTGTGTTCATCTTCTCTAAAAGCTAAGGTTCCTCAAAATGGTGTTTGAATGAACTCACCAGGCTTGAGTGTAAAGAGATCCAAGGACAGCTTGTTATTCCTATTTCTATGAAGTGGACCCATCTCATGTACCCAATCAGAAGGGAACTTACCAGGACGCATTTGCAAAACATGAGAGATTAATTTGCAGCGCAACCCAGAGAAGGTCCAAAAATGGAAACATGTCCTTTTTGAAACTGCAAGTTTGGCTGGCTGGGACACTCAAAGCTATAAGTCAGTCTTCATTCATTCTTTAAAGCTGAGATTCCATTTATTCTTGTGATTTATCTTATTGATTACGATCGCTTTCAATTCTAATCTTTCATACAAGAGGATATTATAAGCTTATCTGACAACTGATTGATCACAAGTTAATTTTTTTGATCAAAAACAAAATGTTTGTTATTTAAAAAATTTTGACAATAATTTTGGGGTTTCATCGTGAGTGATCTTAATTATTATATTTCTTTTCCTTTTTTTTTTAGGGGGATGAGAATACTAACTTTCAATCCTTCAATTTAACAGGCTATCTGATTACTTGTTAAAATCGTGCCATTTCATAAATTGTATGCTTTAGCTCTAAATTCTGTTTCCCCCTTCTTTAGTTAAGTTCAACGACCTTTCTTTGAATTAATTGTCAGTATAATAACTACTGAAGTACATTTTCTGGTTAAAAACCACTAGATTAAATTATACACGTACGCGTCTTATGTTTGATTGAATTTTTTTTTTTTTGGGGCTGGATTACGTTTGATTTAAATCACATATTATATATATAGTTGACAAACTTTTCTGCAGCTTTAAATTTATATAAACTTAGTCTTATTTATAGGATAGAGAATGAAAATTAATTTTAATCACATTTATAATGTATTTTATTATTTTTTTGTTCATTTTTATATTTCGATTCATATTAGAGAGAGGGAAGATTAATTTTGATCTTATTTATAAGATATTTTACTATTTTTCTATGTTCATTTTTATATTTTTACCCTTATTAAATGCTAGAAAAAATATTAAAATAGTTCTTTGATCTTTATTAGAAGGTAGAGGTAAAAACCTATTAAATTTCAAAATTGAATTAATGAAATTTAAGATTTTTGTTAATTTTGATAAAATATGATAAAAGTGACTTGTTGATTCATCCGCCTTGATAGAAGGTTTTTGGAACTATTCATGAGCCTTGATATGAAATCTTTTGTTTTAACCTATTTTTGGGCCCTTTTACTTTTTTTCAATGACTTGGTGAGGTTACACGCATAATTTTTCCTTCAATTTATCACAATTAATTAGCATATTTAAGTCTAAATGACTCAAAATTAACGTAAATAATAGGTTTATCACTTATAGATAGGATTAGACAGAGTATGTACATTTTGAAAGCAAATAGCAGCTCCATCAAAAATAAACAAAAAGATATCTAATTTTAAACAGAAATTAAGATGGCTTTTTATAAATATATTATGAGTTTCAGAGGAAATATTGCAATTTGAATAAAATTCTTCATAATATTTTCAAAATAAAGAAAAAGATGTATACACTTTTAATAAAACTCTAATGAAGTTTGTGTAATATAATTAAATAATAGTAATTTGTTGGTTGTAACTTTGTTTGATAAATCAGTTATTTATTAATTCATTTTCATTTGATGTGTTAATTTTTGTATTTCTTATTCAAACAATTGATGATGAAACGATGCCATGATGTGTACTTCATGTTCATTTTTTTATGTTGGTAAGAAAACATGTTCAAATTTTTTGTGCTTCAATTTAAAAAAATTACCTGAGGCTACGGATAGATCAAATATATTTTTAGAGTATTACTAGATGGGTTGAAGCTAGGGCTCCGTTGTTGGAGTGCCAAATGATGTCCTCAGATAATCCATAGCCTCTATTGTAGGTGGTCGGCGAATCTAACTACGTAGTAGTTATTGGTCATATTTATGAGCTTGGAGTCCTTAATGCACTAGTAACCACACCTCCTTAGTTCTTAGTCTTCTACAAAGGAGGGGTGAATAATCACTAGTGCATCTTTCCATGGTTTGCACAGCTCTATTCATAAGCCTTTCATCAGACATGCATTTTGATCTTTGGTCACACGCCTGCTCCTGCAATAGCCATTCCTTAATAAGATTCTCAAGACTCTCTTCATGATCCTTTTCTTCTTCTCTTCCAACTAGAAAGGCTTTATAAGAGATTGGCATGCATTCCAGACCTCCTATATTAACTCCCAGTTTTTTCCCCCAGAACCAGAGGCTTCATCCATCGTAATGTCTTTGTTAAGCTTATTGGTACTTCTACCCAGCATCCTCTTCTTCCTTCCAAGGATCCATAGGACTAGGCTTTTAGCGGAGCTCTTGCTTGAAACGCTGGAATTCGCACTATCCCTAACTCACTCTCTTTTTCTAATTGATTACTTTTATGATTATCCCATGAATCTCTTCAAAAATGACTTTTTAATGAAGGCAAAATCAACATATTATTACTATTTGCAAACTATCACATGCAATACATTCAACCAAAAACTTAGTTATGAAATTGGGATTAGAATCTTTCCCTTCTAGACAAAAGGACCCTACCATTAATAACCATCAAGTACTGTCGCTATGCAATTCCACCAAAGACTTTTAGTTGTGAATTTCAGATATGACTCTCTCGCTTCTAGAGACAAGAACCTCCCATTCACAAATATTGACATATATATGCTTTATGCTGTATCATTTAATTGATTTATTACAGTTTTTGTGATCTCAGTTTCAATTTATAACATGTATTCACCTTGTTATATTATCATGTATTCATTCAATTTGGTTACTTCGTGATCAACGTTGTTGTTTCATTTTATATCTAGATAGCCACATTTTTCTCTATGTGTAGTTAAAAGGATAATTTTTATTTATAAACTAGTACTCTACATCACTCGATTCAACATATAAAGAGAAAGATGGAGAAAACGTGTCAGAGAAAGGTAAACAAAGAATATATATATATATATATATAACGTCATGAATCTCATTAAATGAAAACTCCGGAACAGAGTTCCCCATACAATCTCATTTTAATTGAGGGCATTATAATCTTGTTAAATAAAAGATAGAATGAGGGATTTGAGTGCCTCTTAAAAAGAATGTAACACCACATTCAACATACTATTCAACCTTCAAAATAATTTCTTCACTTATAATTATAACTAATTTTATTGAAGATCTAATTAATGACATTTAACACATACAAATTAACGTTATAAAATCACACCTTAAAACCATACAATAAGATTTATTTTAACTGATATCAACGTCAATGTATGTGTGTGTAAACTAGCAAGTACTTAAAAAAATTTAACTCATCTTAAACTACATACAACGTACCCACCCTTAGTGTAAGAATATAAGATGAGGTAAAAAAAAGAAATTAATCAAGCAACATATCTTAATATTTTTGTATATGTTAATTTTACTATGATATCAATTTCATAAAATTTATGTTTCTTTCTTTCTTTCTTTTTTAATCATGTGAAACAACTCTTAAAAAATAATACTTCAAAAGCAGTACGTGTAAATAAATGGTCGGGACTCGGGAGTGAACGCTACTTTTTCCGTATAAAAGGGAGAAAAACTGTTCCAAAGTTCTCTCTCGTTGTACGTCCATTTGGCTTTGAAGACCTGATAGAAAGTTAAGTCCATCCGCTGTTAACAGTACTCCATTATCACTTTACTTCCACAACGACGAAGAAGAGAAATCATGGGTGCTGCAGCTTCATCCTCCTCTTCTTGTGCATTTTTTCCCAAGAAATACGATGTGTTTCTGAGTTTCAGAGGTGAGGACACTCGTAAAACCTTCACCAGCCATCTCCACACAGCCCTATGCCAAAGAGGAATTCGAACATACATCGATTATGAGCTCCCAAAAGGCGATGACATTTCCCAAGCACTCATCCGAGCGATTGAAGACTCAAGCATATCTTTGGTGATCTTCTCTGAAAACTATGCTTCCTCAAAATGGTGTTTGAATGAACTCGTGAAGATACTTGAGTGTAAAGAGATCCAAGGACAGCTTGTTATTCCTATTTTCTACCAAGTAGACCCATCTCATGTTCGCAATCAAACGGGAACTTATCAGGAGGCATTTGCAAATCATTCTACGCAAAACCCATCAGAGAAGGTGAACAAGTGGAAACGTGCTCTTTTTGAAACTGCAAGCTCTGCTGGCTGGGACTCTCGGATCTGTAGGTTAGCTGTCTTCAGTACTCTTTCAAACGTATTTTTGGCCTTGCAATTAGCTTGACTTCATACTTTATTTATTCTTAATTTTGATTTATCTTGCTGACTAGAGTTTCTTTGAGATCAACTCCTATATATATATATATGGCCATCTCGATACTTGCTGATTTCAATCATTCATCTCGATGCAGCTCTAACTTCAATTAATGTAGTTATTCAACCTTTAAAAAAAAATAATTTGGAGTATGGATAGCATGTTTTTGTGTTTCATTTGAAATTGCGCACATTTTCTTCAATTCTTTTCATGAGAATTTTGTGTGTATGTGTTTTGAAAATAAAGAAGATGATTATGTAAAAAATGAACCAGCTTAATTTGATATGAGTGATAAATGCTACTCTGTCCCTTAAAAAAATATAGGGTATTTTTCCTGATGTATATATAATATTAAGAAATATAAGGCACTTGCGATTAATGATATTTTATCAAAAATATCCTTTATTAAGGGTGTACTAATTAATAAAGTTTTTTAATTGAGACACCTTATTAAATAGAAATAAACGTAAAAAGAGAGACGATTAACTAACTCACGTGAAAGCATAATTTGATTAAAAATGTTTTTTAATATTTAACAGAGGAAGTAACTTTTATCTCTTAAGTAAGTTATAAGAAGTTTGATTTATATCTTATAAAGAAAACCTTGCCACTATATATCCTCCATCTATATTTCAAGAAAAATTAATTAGTTTCTACTATTGACCGAAGCTATATATTTCTACTGTTTAGGGGGGAAGGACAATGTAATTTCAACAAAATTTATGATATTTTGTATGATTTGCAAAATACCAATCAGTTTATTTTGAAAATAGAAAAAAAGATGATGTAGATGTAATAAAATTTAAAATCAATTTATGTACTTTGATCTAATAAAATAACATGATCAATTTTACTTATTACTTTATTCAATAAATAAACCGTTTATGTACTGATTTCTTCTTCTTCTTCTTCTTCTTTTGTGTGCTAATACGCTTTTTATGCTATTTTATGTTTCAGGGACGAATCACAACTGATTCGTAATATTGTCAATGACATTTTGGACAGACTGAACCGCATGTATCCAATAAGTACATCACATGGTCTTGTTGGAATTGAGGAGAATGTTGATTGTATTAAATCGTTATTGGAACATGTCTCAATAGTTGGAATTTGGGGCATGGGCGGTATAGGTAAAACAACTATGGCCAAAGTTGTATTCAGCAATCTCTCCTCCCAATTTGAAAGCTGCTGTTTTTTTGAAAATCTAAGAGAAGAATCAGAAAAATATGGACTAAAGTATATACGTGATAAACTTCTCAAAGAACTATTGAAGGAAGAAGAGTCCATGGTTGGGTTCACATTTGCCATGAGAAGACTTGGTTGTAAAAAGGTTCTTATTGTGCTTGATGATGTCAATAGTGCAAATCAGTTAGAATATTTGGCCAAAGAATGTCATTCCTTGAGACTTGGCAGCAAGGTCATCATAACGACAAGAGATAAACATTTGCTTCTTGGAAGAGTTAATGAAATATACGAAGCTAAGCCATTGAGCTCTGATAAATCGGTTAACCTTTTCAACCTCAAAGCCTTTCACAATGATAATTATGACAGTGGATATGAAGAACTATCCGAGAGAGCTGTTTCTTATGCCAAAGGTAATCCTTTAGCTTTGATCACCTTGGGTTCATATCTGCATTCCAAAACTGCAGAGGAATGGGAAAGCGCATTGGCAAAATTAGAGAAGACTACCCATGAAGATATTCATGCAGTGTTAAAATTGAGCTATGATGGACTAGACCATGAAGAAAGAGAAATGCTTTTAGAAATTGCTTGCTTTCTAAAAGGTAAAAGTGTAGATCAAGTCGTAGCTCTTTTAGACAGCTATGGCTACCATGCAAGAATTGGCTTGAGGACCCTTGTAGATAAGGCTCTCGTACGTATTCCTTATTATTATGTGGAGATGCATGATTTAATACAACAAATGGGTCGGGAAATTGTTCGTCAAGAGTGTATTAAAGATCCTGGAAGACGAAGTCGACTGTGGAATCCTGATGAAATCTATGATGTATTGAAAAATAATCGGGTAAGAAAAAGAAGAAATTGACTTTCACACAAGACAGGTCTACAAGTTAAAACATACAATTGCTAATATATGATGATGTTTACTTACTTTTATTTGAATTTTTGTGGAATGCAGGTAACTGATGCAATTGAAGGCATAAGTTTTGATTTGTCTCAAATTGGAGATATGTGCTTACCTTCTCACACCTTTGAAAAGATGACTCATTTGAGATTTCTCAAATTCTATTCATCTAATCCAGATAGGAGAGCATGTGTGAATGTTCCCTCAAGTCTAGAGTCATTTTCCAATGCATTACGATATCTTCACTGGGACAATTTTCCTTCTGAGGCTCTACCACCATCTTTTTCTGCAGAGAAGCTCGTTGAACTTAGTTTGAATGGCAGTCGGCTTAAAAAATTGTGGGATGGAATGCAGGTATGGTATTCAAATGAGTTTAAATTTTTCACTTCAGCTGAAGTTCACGACCATTTCGTTTCCCAAGTAATGTTTCTCTTTTCAATTGATATTCAGGATTTGGTAAATCTAAGGGGATTAGACCTTGGCGGATCTAAACAATTGGTAGAGCTGCCTGATTTCTCCAGGGCACAAAATCTTGAACGGGTGAATCTCACTTCATGTGAAAGTTTATACCATCTTCATCCATCTATTTTATCTCTCAAGAGACTGAAGTCTTTGGCGCTTGAGAATTGCATAAACCTGAAGGATTTACAAGGTGAGAGTCATTTGAAATCTCTAGAGAGCCTCAATGTTGGTAATTGCTATTTCAAGGAATTTTCACTATCATCAGAGAGCATGAGAGTTTTACACTTAGATAGAACAGGCATTGAGTTATTAGGCTCATCAATTGGGCATCTCGGGAAACTTACCAGTCTCTCTCTCAATTGCTTAAGACTAAAGAATATTCCAGTAAGTGAGTTTTATGGATTGAGGTCTCTCAAGGATCTTTCTCTTTATGATTGCGGAGAGGTAATTGATGAATCAAAGTTACATATCTTGTTTGATGCTTTGCGATCCCTGATAAGTATTCATTTGGATGGGAGTTGCACTTTAACTGAACTCCCCAACAATATCAAGCATCTATCAAGACTAGAATTTCTTTCCCTGGAGAATTGCAAGGGCCTTCTATCTTTACCCGAGCTCCCACCATCCATCAAAGAGTTAGATTCCACCAACTGCACATCATTAAGGACATTGATACTCACTTCTAATACGGAATTTCCATTGTTGCCACAGCAAATATTAACACCCTATTCCTCAATCAGGTATCTCAGAAATCTAAGAAGACTTATTCTTTCAGGTTGCAACGTAGAGAACCATTCACTTTCACATATCATGGCCTTTTCTAATTTCTGTTTGAAGCGTGGGGTGCATACAAATCAAATGGTTGATATCTGCTACCCAGGGAGAGAAGTTCCAGATTGTTTGAAGTATAAGACAATCGAGGTTTCCAACTTCATAACCATCGAGCTTTCTTCAACCATGAACAACTTGCAAGGCTTCATTTTCTGCTCTGTTCTTCCGCAATTACACTCCAAAGGAAAGCTGTTCTTACCGCTTGAAATGCCAAATTTATGATGAAGATGGTGATCAATGTGGCACAAGTTTGAGTTTTGTTATAACGAATGTTAATTCACATCATGTTTTTCTATGGAACACTCGTGAAAACATAATCAAAAAATATCCAGACACCAACTGCAAGCCAAAGCTTTCATTTGAATTTTATGTTGTTGCATATGATAGTGATGATTTTCTGAAATACAGTTTTATGAAGGAAACAAAATATGATGGATTGATCATTGAAGCATGTGGAGTCTGCCCAATATATGTCCCAGATTATCACAACTTCCTTCAACAGATGGAATTAGAGTTAAGCATGAAGGAAGAAAATGCTTTTGATGATATTGAGGAGCATTCATTTCGTGGAATACTGGAATATGCTAGTTTCTCGCTGAAGCGAGGAAAATGTGAAAATTCTGAAAGCAGCATTATTCCAGAATGGTTTGCGTGCAAAAGCTTGACAAAGGAGTCTTCTGTCTTTGTTCAGCTTAATCCTAGTTTAGATGGCTTATTGGGTTTCATTTTCTGCTTTTTTATTCCTCAGTTCTCCTTGAAAGAGAGGGATCACAATCACTCGTCGTGTGGATACTACGATGAAAATAGCATCTATCAAGAAGGCCCAAGAGGATGGCATTACTCAATGATCGAATTGAATTCAAATAATGTTTTCCTCTGGTATGACCCCCTCTATTGTGAACTCATACTAGAGAATATCCAAAGCATCATAGTCCCGAGAAAATATGGTAACTATGAATCGAAGGTCACATTTGAATTTAAGTTTGGTAATTGCTTGATCAAAGAATGTGGAGTTCGTCCAATATATGCCTCAGAATACAGGGAGTTCCTTCAACAAAAGGAATTGAAGGTGGAGTTAATTACAGGCAAAAAGAGGCATCGGAGTACTGATGATGAGCAACAGCAACCCTATCCCACAAAGAAATGGAAGATGTCTTCAATCCTTCAACCTATTCCCCTGAGTTCTAAGTTTAAGACATCTCATGATTTTGATGACTTGCTATTTTCACTCTCTCGATTGAATTTGGAATGCATGAAGGATAGCATTCGTGAGATGTAAATTATCTATGCTTCTTTTTCGGGTATTTATATTTCTCTCTCGTTAAAATTTCATCTATTTATTAAACTTTACTTTGTCTAGTATATATGCATTGTGTAGCAAAAAATTGTAGGGATGGTGAATAAATGTGTAAATTAAAAGTGATGGATATTTTCCAAATTAAATATTTGTTCTGTTTTGAAGTAAAATGCTCATACCTTCAGTGACATCTATGTGCAACCAATGAACCTGTGATCTTTTGACTTGGGACTGAAAAAAACAGCTGATAATGCTTTCAATCTTGATAAATATGAAACTTCAATAATTCAATTCTCTTGTACTTTTAACACTAATAAGTTGGTGTAGTATATTTTTATGAACTCAGTTTCATATGATCAAATGTGGTGGGGGGTGTTGATTAATTATGTGGAATTGGGAGAGTCGTTTTCATCTACTTTATGATGCACATCATGTGTTTAGTCCTTGTACCTTTTTCAGCTAATATTACTGTCTTTTTTCAGCTAATCATTATATGCTCGGAAAATGTTCATACCAGTCATGTTCTAACTCCTAACATAGTTGTGAAACATGGTGTTAATTACAAATGTATTTTGCATGGGCCAATGTGAGTTTCACATGGCAAAATTCCAGAGAAAGCTGCACCAAGATACTTGTCACCTCCTGAAATACTATTGTAAGTGTTGTTGTTGCTTAAATGACGGCCGCCTCACTCAAATGAATTTCCTTTGGTCTCCCTGAAATCACAATTTGTTCTGACAATTGTGTTTGAATTTTTCAGTTAATATTTCTTATCCCTTGCCAAATATATACACAAATAACAAGAACAAGTCGATGTATATCTTCACTATCTGCTTGATCAAGTGGGATTAAGCTTTGACAGCTCAAACAAACAGCATTGAGAGGTACTATTTGTTAGCTATGAAGCAGAGTACTAAAGTGGTGGAGCGATGACTAAGAGCAGTTTAACTTGTTGGTTTCCCCCCTTGCATTGCGCTAATTTAATAGTAAGTATTAAAATTAGGTCTACCATAACTTTGAGCAGATTTGCATTATTTTTCTACTATTTGGTCATGGAAACGAAATGTAAAGGTTAGCTACCTCTTATTTTCTTGCACTTGTGCCTCATATTGTGATAGAACCAACGACCTTTGTTAGTCTATTCTGGGAAAAGACGTAGAAAGCCTTCTTCAGGAGAAGAATCAGTGTAATGCCATGTGACTTCAGTCTATTATTATGTACGTTGTGTTACAGGTGACACTTATCTCTTATTACTACGGTTTAGCCTTATAATTTTTATAAGATTTAATTGTACTTTTAGTCTTCTAATTTTATGTAAAGTTTTACTTTAGTACCTTAATTTTATAGACTTAGGTTTTCTCCACTTATCAATCCCTCCATTGACCCTCCTCCTCACTTGATAAGATTTGGATGGTCCAGGTTTAAAATTTTTATTTTTATTTTAATTTTATATTTATTAAAATAAAAAATTGTAAAAATTATTAAAAAAATATACAAATGTGTAATATCACCAATCTAGACAATCTTGATTTAACATTAATGGCTCAAATTTAATATTAATTTTTTTACTAATTTTTATAGACTATGCAGATTTATTGTGAACAGTCCATATTTAAAATTTTTAACTTGCATTTTTTTTTAAAAAATATTTTCAAAAAATTGCATGTTGGAATATTATTTTTGTTTTCAAGGACAAATGCATTTAGGGCCCTGAAAATAAAAAAAATTGTAGATAAAGCCCAATAGAATATGATATTACTCTACAGACTTAAAGGTCTCATTTGCAATTATATTTCTGAGTGAAATGACCCATTTGTCCCTCCCAAAATCAACTGATGTGTTTGACACTCTTCTTCTTCCTCACTCTTCCTTCTCTTTCTTCCTCTTCCTTCTCTCTCTTCAGCCAGAATCATTGTCTTTGAAGCTTTCTCGGGGGCGACTGTTGGGATTGTGATTGGATGTGTTGTTTTTATGGTGCTGAAAGGGGGCCTATCTCTCGTTCTCTAAAACTAAAACCCTAAGTTCCACTTGTCCACTTCAATATGAGGCATCTTAGTTCGTTTCAAAGGTAAGGTGATGGAATCTCTAGAGTTTTGCTGTACTCTTGATGAGGTGGAGAAAAATTAATTTTTGGAATTTCTCACATTACGTTAATTTTTTATATGATGAATTATTTATTATTCACCATGGAGGATCTCTTGTTTTCGTATGCTGAACTCTAAGTTCGTAGTGGATGTTTAGGAGTGAATTATTTGTAATAAACTCATGATGGTTTACTTGTTTATATTGAATGTTCACATATGAATTGGAAAATTCATCACCTGTCCGTTATCATGAAAATACTCTAGTAGATACATTGAATTATGTTTTGTGAAAACATGAACAATGTCTTGTTTATGTTAAATGTTTAGTTGTGAAAAATAAATGTTGGGTTTTTGTATGTGGACGTTTGACCAAGATAGTTACCCATACCATAGTCGTGTCCAAGAACTTGCTGATACAACTCAGAAACATGTTTTGGAGTTCTAAGTTGGTGGATCCCTGCCTTGTTTCGTGTTTAAATTTGTAAATAGAGACATAATTAGAGGAATGGTGTCCTTTAGGAACAGTATCCAAATGGAGTTTGGGATGTGCAAACTATAATGTAAAGTTGTAGAAACTTCGGACTGTGGTTGTAAATTTGTAAATTGATGAACTGATAAAATTTTTGTTTGGAAAACATTGGAAGCGAAAGCCATTCTAAAAAAACTTGGATTATTTGTTGTGAAAATATGAATATTATTTTGTTGATATAGGATGTTGAACTGTTAATTCATGAAGTCCTTATATAATAGTTTATAGGAAATGGGGATTGTGTAAAAGGAAAATTTGAATGAATTAATATAATTATTAGTTGACAGAAAAAGAGGACTATGTCAATGTAAATTTTAGTTTCCAATATGTTGGAAGTGAATGTCCTCCACTGAGAAGAACTAGATCATGTGCTGAAAAATTAATGTTATTGTCATGTTCAAATTGGATGTTCAATTGTAAATTCTAAAAATTGGAGTTGTGTAAGTGAATTTTAATTGATTAATGTGTTGGTTGTATAGAGGTGATGAGAATCAAGTTAATTCATGATTGATGCAGTATAGGGGTTACCTCTAGTGTCATTGTCATTCCAAAATATATGGACTTTTACTTGTAAATATTTAAACTTGCACTTGTCAATATATGAACTTTTTGTTGTTCATGTGTGAACTTGCAGATGGCAAAATCTAAGTAATTACTTTATGTGATTTAATAGTTATCTACATTGACTGTATTGCTAATTTGTGTAGGTGAATAAAATGGTTAACGAGAAACAACCGAAAAAAATCTACTCTTACAAGATGGCATGAGTTTATGAAAGTATTCATGGAGAAGAATAGAGGACTATACAAGAAATTGATAGACTCAAATGATGCATTAGCTGAAATTTGAAATAAGATGATTAATAAGAAGAGGGAGCTTTATAGCAACAGCCAAAGGAAAACAAAAACGATGGGATTGTGTCTGTGCTATTTTAAGTTGTTTTTTTATATGGAATTTTTTTTTGGTAAATGGATGTAGGGCAAATATTGTGGTGTATATTTGAAAAACATTTGTTATAATGTGATAGTTAAATTATTTTCAACGGTATGCACTAGTTATCCAGCTTGAATTTATGAGATAACATACAAAAGTAACATAACAAGGTTTATATAAAGTCTACCTATATATATTGTCTATGTGGTTTAAAAGTTCAAGAATGTACAAGTTACCAAGATGGAATTTATAATAGAACATTTGTAAATAATATCAAAAGGTTCATATATTAACAATACAAAGTTATATATTATTCGTGTGGTTTAGTAAAACTAAAATGTATTAATTGCTTTAGTGAAATTTATAGTAAAATATTCATAAATAATATGATAAGGTTCATATATTAATAACATAAGGTTCGTCTATATGACGCACATGAACATCTATACAAGTTAATTATAAAATTTGTATAATATAAACTTTATAAATAACATGCTTTCATTGAATTAAAAAAATATGTATATTAAATTTGGATAATTTCATGTTGATACTAATCTTTTTATTAAAACAAGCATGGATATGAAGTTTTATATCACATTTCATGTCTAATATATATATATATATATATATATGAAGTGAGCTAGTCTATCTATATATATTGTCTATGTGGTTTAAAAGTTCAAGAATGTACAAGTTACCAAGATGGAATTTATAATAGAACATTTGTAAATAATATCAAAAGGTTCATATATTAACAATACAAAGTTATATATTATTCGTGTGGTTTAGTAAAACTAAAATGTATTAATTGCTTTAGTGGAATTTATAGTAAAATATTCATAAATAATATGATAAGGTTCATATATTAATAACATAAGGTTCGTCTATATGACGCACATGAACATCTATACAAGTTAATTATAAAATTTGTATAATATAAACTTTATAAATAACATGCTTTCATTGAATTAAAAAAATATGTATATTAAATTTGGATAATTTCATGTTGATACTAATCTTTTTATTAAAACAAGCATGGATATGAAGTTTTATATCACATTTCATGTCTAAATATATATATATATATATATGAAGTGAGCTTAGTCCTTTTTTCTACTAGTCCTTATCCCTCTCCACTTATCTTATTCCATATTTCACCTAATCATCAACACCCAACTTCCAAGGCCTTTAATCTCAACTGACACCCACCAGTGATGCATCTGTATCTTGAAAATAATCAGAAATTCCAATGAGAACAAAAACAGTTTCCTTTGGATGCATTTTTTTTTTTGGTGAATTTGGATGCATTTAGTTTGTACCACTATATATAGCAAAGATGTCATAGCTCCATCCGTCTCATTTTGGATAAAATTTTACATTTCAATAAATCTCATTAATAAATATATCTAACAATCTTTTTTAAAAAAATAAAAATATAAACTTTTAAAACTACCATTCATTTAATATATTTAAAAAAGAGAGGAACAAATATTAAATAGAGAGAGAAAGGATAATAATAGAATAAGTTTATTTGACAAAACATCAACTTTCTTAAAGTTTCTTACATTTTGAGACACCTAATCTTTCTTAAAAGTATCTTATAATTTAAAATAGAGAGAGTATTTCAACTTTACCATTTTATATATAATTGCAACTAGTATAGAATGTTTTTAATTTTTATACAATTTATTATGCTCATTAATTTTACTGAATGACAAAACTGAAAAGTTACACATTTTTTAAAAAGCAAGGTTTTAATTATTAACTACTTCTCCTTAGAAAATATGAAATTAGACCAATTAACTTTAAAACAGACTGATCTGAAATAAATAAATAAAATTAAACAACGGGATTACAAAGGATTATTAGATGTGATTTGATTAATAACTTAACCCATTTTTCTTGGTTTTGGTGAGATGATGTAGCATTCCAAAAATTTAAACTAAAACATTAAAACAAATTAAAAATTAATTGTGATTAATGTGGGGTTAAACTTTGAGAACTTTATTTTAATTCATAGTTTTTTAAAAAGGAAGAAAATAAATGAGGATAGGTAGAATTAAATTAAATTATTTAAAATACTGTTCCAACTTAACTTTTTATAAATATGTTAATATTATAAAATTTTATTTGAACAAAAATATGCAAACTTGATTTAACCCTTTTAATTGTAGGAGGAAATAATAAAAATTAATAAATAAATAAATAAACATACATATAAATTATAAAAAAGGAGAATCATATTCAAAGATCACTTAAAAAAATTATTTACAAACAAGGACTAATAATAAATCCCATTAAAAAGAAGTCATATTTTCATTTTAATAATAATTTATTTTTTATTGGTTCTTAGTTTTTAATAATTTTTTTGAGTGATTCTTAAATTTGATTCTTTTTATTCAAAAAACAAGAATAATAGTAGAATAAAGTGTGTGCGTGTGTACGTATACATACATACATATGTATGTATGTACGTATTTATATATAACGGTCGGGCACGGGTTTGCAAATCGCTGGAGGGGTTTTATATTTAAAAAAAAAAAAGAAAGAAAAGAAAGAAAAAAAAAAAAGAAAAGATGACTAGAAAAGATGTGGGATCCACGCCTATTTAATTTAAAATTCACCCACGGCCAAGGCAATTGCTTTTTGCCGTTCCCTTTCGTCTTCTCCAGTAGCGTCGGCGTCTGCGCAGCAGAGGGAGAACCGATCGCCAGTGCTGGATTAATTTCAGATTAGCTTTCATTAAAAGATATTTTAGGTATGATTTAAAGTTTTTCAAGGTTAGATAAATTTTTTAAATATTTTTTTACTTTATTTTTAAATTTTTGACAGTAAAAAATTTGAAATTTCCTATGATGTCAAATTTTTGGTATTTTTGAGTATGAGAAAAGTTTTTGTTAATATAGATAGATGAAATGGAGTTGTGGGGGATATATTATTATTGCTAGGACAGTGAATATGATTTATTTGAATATTTTATTTAAATTTTAGTTGATTTGAGTAAACCCTAAGTTGATGGATAATATGAGGATTATGTTATTGGTTAATAGATTTAGTTGTGCTCATTATGGTTTAATGAAATTAATGGAACTATTAAATAGCAAAGTTATCTAATAATTTAAAATTTGAAATTTTTAAGTAAAAATGAACAGTTAGAAAAGTGACAAAATTAATACTGTGTTGATGTTTTTGAAATTTTTTTAAGCTCTTGAAGCATTTAAAAACTTTGAATTTGATTAAATCTATGAGTATTCATTTTGAATGACTTAAGGGTGAAGGTAATCTTGAACCAAAATTCTCACGTATGCTTGTTTAAATGTTTTGTGGTAGTTAGAAAATTGTGAAATGTATATTATGTATTTAAAATATTAAAATAGTTAAAACTGTGATCATATAATCCAGAGCGCAAAATCAGTTACAGTTGACACGTTCTTCGGGGTTGATAAATGCAGCTAATGGCAAATGAGGAATTAGCATAGGAAAGTAGTGATTGAAATTGGCTGACTTGCAAGTCTTCGGACGCATGTACAGAAAAGTAGCCTTAACCTGAATGAATAATATTCTGCAAAAGTTGCAAGTTGAGCTTAGCGCCACGAAATTAGTGCTAACAATATACTCCCTCTGGTCAGGCTTTATTAGTCGCATTCTAAAAAGAAAATGTAATTCACAATATTAAGAAAATGTAATTCACAATATTTGTCACTTGTTGATGATGACTCCGCACTTCAAAATAAAGTTTTCAAAATACCCTCACTCATATGAGAGAGAAATACAAAAAAATAATATTATATTAATTGATTGTAACTTTTGCTTTTTCATTTGATGATTAGTTTTGAAATTTTATTTTTAATTATACCTTGTACTTTTATCATGATATTGATAAAGTTGATAAAAATAATTTATAAATAAAATTGAAGGAGTACACGTGGACAATTATATTTTCTAGAAAGTAGAATCATTCCCATGTCATACATAGGATAGAATGTCTAGTCAACATAACACATTATTATGAGCCCTCCCTACATTTCCCTCCTTTCTTTCTTCTATTGTTTCCGTGCCACTACATGTTCTTGCTATAAATGTTCAATATTTATATAGGCATATAATAAGACTCTAATATGTCAAAAAGGAATTTAGATCCTCCACAAGATCCATGAGTTTAAAACTCATAATCTATTAAGGTTCGAATTAATTTCTCTTTAGCATGGGTTTATGTAGAGATGGCTAGTGAAGGTTTTGCGAGTGTTATCGCCTCTAAAACTCAAAAACATGTCATGTTTCTTGGGAGGAAGTGAAGAGGAGGATAAGGACAAAGCAGCAGCAACATAAGACATGATACTGTGATCAGTTGTTCAAAGTGAACAAACAACAGTTATAATAAAATCTTTACAAATAAAATATTTATATCATATCTGTAATTTTGAACATTTATTTCTAAAAAATAGGAATAATAAAATCTTGACATCTATTTGAGTCATGTTTTCCAACAAAAATTATGTTGAGATCATTACATGATACTCATTGACATATGTGATATCTGTTGATTGTGTTAGAACATGAGGATTATTAGTAATTATCTGATTAGCATTATTTGGATCTAGAATATTCTATAGCCTTGCATGTATTGATTCTATAGATATTTATTCCTTCTATACCACCTATATGTGTCTACATTTCATTGATTGTTTTGTAACCCTTTTATACTATATATTGAGCAATATAGAGCCTGCCAGGATCAATTCCTTCTAGCCATTATTCACATCCGTTTCTTTCCTCTTTCTATCTTGGTATCAGAGCAATTTCAGCTTTATCTTATTCTTTTCTCATGGATGATTCCACTACTATCATAATCACCTTTGGTTCTCCTTCCTCTATTATTGTTTAGAATGTTTCCAAAACCAACCCTCTTTTTAGATTGTCTCACTCCACCACCTTGATCAAGTTAGATCGTGGTAACTACTTGCTGTGGGAATTTGTTGTCTTGCTTGTCATTAAAGGCAACAAGCTTGAGCATCATATCAATGGAACTTGTAAGATTCCATTGACACTGGTTGCAGACTAAAGCCAAATCTAGATTTTAAGGAATGGAAAGTTGTTGATTTTCTCCTTATTGGTTGGCTATGTAACACTATGTTTATTGATGTTGCATCTCAATTGCTTCATTGTCGCATTGCACAAAAACTTTAGGATGGTGTTTGCTCTCTCTTTGGTGCTTCACTCAAAGCTCGGGTCATGGTGTACAAGGCTATGCTCTATCTCACTACCAAAAATGGTTTAAAAATGAAGGGATATCTTTCTAAAATGAAGACTCTTGTTGACCAACTTGCACTTGCAGGTTCACCTATAGCTATTGAAGATCTTATCATTCATACCCTTAATGGTCTCGATGCTAACTACAATGCCATCGTAGTCAAGCTTATTAACTCTCCTAATCTTACTTAGGTTGATACTCAAGCATCTTTACTAGCTTTCGAGAGCAGGATGGAACAACTTGCTTAGTTTTCTTCTCTCTCTATAACCTATTGTGAATGTTGCACAAAGAGAGGATGGTCGTATTGATTTTGTTTGTGGTTCTCTTTGACGAGGCTCTCACTCTTCTTGTAGTCGCTCATCGCATGGTGGTGGTGGTCATCCATATTATGACTTGGGCCATCGTCACGGTCACTGTGTGGCAAATTGTTGTCATCAATTTGATCGTTCTTTTCAACCACCCTTCCATGGCTTCAACCTTCAAGCCTTTTATACTACGCCATCAACCGTCTCTGACCCTGCTTGGTGTCTCAACGGTGGTGCCAACTATCATGTGACACTCGATCCTACCCAACTTGCTCAGGTCATGTCTGTAGGTAAATCTCATCTTCTTACTTACATTGGTGAACAAACACCTGTCTGTGGTATAGGTTCCACTATACTCCCTTATTCTTCAACTAATATTCATCTCAAAGACATTTTTCTTATTCCGTCAACTATTAAGAATTTGCCAAGTCTCTCTTATCTTGTTAATGATAACTTTGTATCTATTACTTTTACTAACGGTGGATGTGTTGTGAAGGATTAAGCAATAAAGCTGGTTTTGATGTAGGGAGCTTTATGGCAGGGGATGTATCTACTAGAAAATGAATCTCAATCACAACCACAAGCTTATATGGCATCTTATGTTCTTGAAGCACTTTTATCTGAGTACTTGAATTGACATTACAAGCTTGGTCATCCTAGTGATAGAATTCTAAAGAAAATTTTATAATAAATGTAATGCAGGAGTTGTTATTAATGATACACATGTTTGTGAAGCTTGTCAATGTGGCAAATCTAAGATGCTCCCTTTTCCTTCATCAACTTCACATGTGTCTGTGCCTCTTGAACTTATTCATACCAATTTATGGGGACCTTCTCTCCTTCAATTTGTTCATGAGCATCGTTATTATGTACATTTCATTGACGATTATGGTAGACATACTTGGTTATATCCATTGAAGCATAAGGGTGAAGAATTAAATGCATTTAATCATTTTCACTCATTAGTTAAAAATCAATTTGATGCTAAGATCAAGAATCTTCAATGTGATGAAGGCTCATAATACAAACCTTTTATTCCTGTTGCCAATACTCATGGTACCAACATGTATTTTACTTGCTGACATACATCTCCACAGAATGGTAGGGCCAAGCAAAAACATTGACACATTGTAAAAATGGGTTTAACACTTCTTGCTCAAGCTCACATGCACTTAACATATTAGGTAGATGCCTTTTAGATTAGTGTTTTTTTTTATTAATCGTTTACCTACACCCATCCTTTAAGGTGATACTCCTTTGTTTTAGTTGCCCAAAACAAAGGTTGATTATACCTCTCTTCAACCATTTGATTGTGCATGCTATTCATGTCTAAAGCCTTACAGTGAGCATAAATTTCAATATCATAGTCAGATATGTGTTTTTCTAGGCTACGTATCACAACAAAAAGGCTATAAATGTTTGAGTTCATCTAGTAGGGTTTATGTCTCACATCATGTAAATTTTGATGCTTCTCTGTTTCCCTTTAATATAGGCTTTTTAAATCGTCGAGCTTATTTGCCAAATTTATCTTTGATTCCTTTGGTTATTACTACACTAAATGTGTCTAGCTCATCATCAAATTCTATAGATTCTCCTTTATCTCAACCATCTTCATTAATAACAGTGTCTTTAGTCATTCCTTTAATATAGTCACTTGTTGAAGCTCCAAGTTCATCTGAGGCCTTGGATGAATTGTTAAGTCCTTATTGATCCATTACTCAAGCTTTAGATCAATAGCCCAATACTTAACTCATGACCCAGACCAACATTCATCCTATGACCACAAGATGTAATAATGGTATTTTTCGACCTAAGTATCCATTTACAGGGTTATTATACTCAAAGGATGCAATTTCTCTCACAAATGTTATAGAACCTAATAGCACTTGTGAAGCTCTTCAATCACTGTCATGGTGCCATGCGATGATAGAAGAATTTGATGCACTTCAGAAAAGTCACATATGGCAACTCATTTTGTTCACGGGATTGTAAAGGGTCATTGATTGCAAGTGGGTCTTTAAGAAAAAGTATAATTCTGATATTTCTCTTCAATAGTGCAAGGCTCAATTAGTCACAAAGGGGTTTCAACAATCTTTGGGTGTCGACTATAATGAGACTTTCGGTCCAGTGGTCAAAGCTACAACTATTCATATTGTACTCACTATAACTTTAACGTTCAATTAGGATATTCATCAACCAGACATCAATAATGCATTTCTCAATGAATTTCTTCAAGAGGATGTGTATATGTGTCAGCCGAAAGTCTTTATTGACCCAAAATGGCCAAATCAAATTTGTAAGTTAATTAAAGCTCTTTATGGTTTAAAACAAACTCCTCGAGCTTGGTTCGATCGCTTGAGATTAACTCCATTGCAATGGGATTTTAGAAATTGCCAAAGTGATAATTCCTTATTTTTACTTTGAACATATGGGCTAACTGTGTTTATTCTTATATATGTGGATGATATCTTAATGATTGGAAATAATTTGAATTATTTGAGGAGTTTTGTTCAAAAACTCAATTGTCTATTTTCTCTTAAAGATCTTGGACCCTTTGTCACGCCCCAAAATTTAAGACGTGACTGGCATGAAATATATGTGTAAAACCCATATCCTTTAAGCCTTGAACAAATATATTTTCATTCATACAAAACTATAGGCATATATATATATATATATATTATTTATTTTTTTATTAGAATTTTAATGTAAATAAGACTTCTTGAAATGTATGACAAAGAATAATAATAATCAAATAAAAGGATCTCGCTCCTTACTAACATATATACAATCTTTAAAGAAAGACAAGAATCCTACCTACATTATATGCGGAGCAGTTAGGACCAGGCCATGAAATTTATACAAGGTTCAAATTTTCATCAAGCAGAACTTGTTTGAAATAATTCTTCCACTCCACTTTAGCAATAAAATACCTCAAGCAACACCTTGATATACAAGTTCAACTTATACTACTTGAGGCCAAAAATATATTTTTCAGTGAATAATGTTCCAACAATAAATAATAGAACATAAATAAAATGAAAAATTTGAAATAGATATGTAAGTTAAAGAAACAAAAATTTTCATAAAAATTCAATAAGCTTCATAATAAAATGTCTCTATAAAATTTAAAAAAAATCTCAAATCATTGGATTATCGCAGCAAATGATAATATCACTTGATTTCAAGAAAGCAAATAAACGAAATAATTATTTATAAGTAAATTACTGAATAAACATCAATGGAATATAAAATTATCAAATAATTGGATTCATAATTATAGGGACTTATCAGAACAATTAACAAATGTGGATACACAATCCATGAGAGTAACTAACCAAACGCGGCTTATACCACGAAAACAAACATGAACACACAGTCTATGAGGATAAGGAATCAAACGCAGCCAAAGCCACAAAAACAAACGTGGACACACAGCCTACGAGGATGATGCTAATCAAATGCGGCTTGAAGCCACGAAACAAACATGAGTACGATGCTCACGAATTACCATCCCTTCATTCCACGTGCGTTGGCCATCGCACAGGGCTAGCACCTCCTATAAACACCCTGCTAGCTAGGTGTGTCATGGCGTGCTAAGGGCTAACGGAATCGCCATTAGCAACCAGTGTTCTATATGAAGTTCCTTTTAAAACCATTTTCAAATATACGAGAAAATCATCATTTTCAAGATACAATTCTCATTCTTAAAATCAAAACTCGCATAAATACTTTTAAGCATTAAAACTTTCCAGAATCAAATTTCATATCTGATACTCATGCTTGCATTTATTGAATAAAAAAAAATTTCAACGTCGAACTCGCATCAAGCATTCTCTGTATCAATCCAATATTTGATAAAATAAAAATTTCATAATCAAAAATCAAACTTGACTTAATTGATCAAATAACATTTCAAATTTGGTAAAGCTGATTTCTCAAAATAAAAAAATGTTAATTAACAAATATCCAATAATTGCTTTAATGCTATTAAAATAATTTTCAGAAAAACGTAATATTTTAGTAAAAGAAATTTTGATTGAAAAAAAAATCAGTTGAGACGCTATCCACTTACCTGAGATATTTTCAAATGTTAAAAGTCACCCTTTATAACTTTAAATGAATCTTCTTTGCTACTTCAACAATGGTGTCCCTTCTCCAAATCTCCTATTTAACATATAATAGGGTCTTAATGGACTCTCAACAAACCTAATAAAATTTCCTTTCATATTAACAAAAGAAAAATATAAATATAATAAATTTGAAACTCTTGAATCAAGATCTATACATAAGAATTTCTCCATAATCATTAAATTCTTAAATCAATTCAATTTATACTTTAAATCCTTCCATCCTTATAGTACTTTATATACACACACACACACACTTTTCCATCCGAGACTTTGTTTATATTATACTTATCCATCTAGTTCGCCTCAAGCACAAATAGCTAAATTTTAATCAAGGTATATACTTGCGTGCGCACCTAAATTTTTATCATCCTAATATTTTGAAAATACTACAATCCCCCATTTATCAAACCTCTTGTGGCATCCCAAAATAAGTCATAAAAGCAACATCATGATTTATAAATCACCAACAATACAACTCCCCGAATTTCATTTGTCCTACAATAATTTCATAATAAATCTTTACTTATAAATTTTCAAGTTAAATTCACAACCAAACAGCACCCAAAAACAATCATACTTCTCATTATTTTTAATAAAAAAATAAAAAAAATACATAATCAAGCAAAACCCTCATAACGGGCATTTTATGAAACATTTTGCAAGCGTGAATCTTTTTCGTTCTTTCTCTTCTCTTCTATGCAAATATCATCCCAACAATTCCTTTCTAATAATTCTAGGATGCTATTACTTGAATAAATTCAACTTGCTTAAATTTTTACCACACATAACTTCATATAGTTCATGAAATTAAAGAGGAAAACTCAAAACTCAAAATCATCATATTTCACCCACACGCATAAATCCAGCAAAGAGGGACACTTTTTATACTACAACTACTAAAATGCCCACACATGGAATTAACAAGAAGCAAAGTTTGAAGCATCAAACCTGAGCTGGCAACGATAGAGAAGGGGAAGAGGAAAAGAGTCGATAGAAGTAAAGGAAGAAGAAGCTCAAGCACCCTTGGCAGCACCTACAATGACCCACCGACAGAGAAGGAATAAGAAGGAAGTTTTTCTTTTTCCCGATCACCCACAACCTCAGGCAACTCAATACTTCACACACACCAACAGCAAAGAGACTAGGCGGGAGACAGAGAATTGACGAGGAGGAGGATGGTGATGCGTGGGAATAGAAGAACTGTGTCAGCACGGAATAACAGAGGAGGTGAGAATTTCTTTTCTGGCTTATCCATATCACCAGTGATGATAGTAAACGGCGGAAGAAATAAAGGAAAGTCGAGTACGGGAAGATCTAAGCTCGCTCTCGCTCTCTCTCTCTCTCTCTCTCTCGGCTGGTCTTAGAATTACCGACAAAAGAAATGGGAAAGATCAACAGGAATTGAAAAAAAATCACGAACTATGGCAGCACACACGCAATAGCACACAAACAGAGGGGGATCAAGGAGGAAGTTTCCTGCCACTCATAATTTTTGATGGCAACAAGTAGAATGGAAGAAGCTATGAGTTTAACACAATCCCCACCATGGCAGCGATTGACAGCGACAAATTGCAGGGAAGGAAGAAGATGGAATTGAATTAATGACACAGAAGGATTAGGAGGCTGACAGGGTGATCGACCAAGCATCAGATACTTGAACCACAGCACTCGCTCGCATGACTGACGATCTGAACGGCGGCAAACGATGGATGGAGGAAGCAAGTGAAGGACGATCTCTCTCTCTCTCTCTTACTCTCACTTGGTCTAGAATTCTCCACAAACAGAGGTGAAAAGAAAGCCCGATTTATATCTGCCATTTTCATCTCTTTTTAATTTTTTTAAGAGGCAAAAATGGTAATTTCAAGCAATATAGAAAAAATAAAATAAAAATAAAAACCTCAAATGCAAAACATTAATGATAAGAGCTAACAAAAATTTCACTACACCACCAATACATATTGTTATTATATTATTTTTTTCAACAACTTATAAAAATACAATAAAATTATCTTATTATTTGATCTAGCTTTATTATTATAATATGAGTTATTACACCCATGCATTATTTCCTTAGTCTAGAAGTATATTGAGATCGTTCTAGTGTCTATTTAAATAAGCAAAATACACTTTAGATCTATCAAAACGTTTTGGCATGCTTGATTGTACAACTATTCCAACCCCAATGGTCATTGGCAAACAATTATTTGTTAAAGATAGCAAACTTATAAAAAACCCCTCTCTGTTTAGATAAGCTATAGGTGCTCTTCAATGCCTCATGACCATTAGCCCTAATATAGCCTATTTTGTCAACAAATTGAGTCAGTTTAAGGCTAATCTAACAGAAGTACATTTTCAGGTTGTTAAAAGAATTTTGAGATATGTTAAAGGCACTTATCATTATGGAATTCATTTGAAACCTGTTGCAACTATTTGACTAATGGCTTTTATAGATGTTGATTAGGCAAATGATATAGATGATCGCAAGTCCATGGCTGGGTTTTGCGTTTATCTTGGTGTTTCTCTAGTTTCATGGGCTTTAAGAAAGCAGTGAGTTGTTTCACAATCCAATACTGAATTTGAGTATAGAGCACTAGTTGATGAAGCTGTTGAGTTGAAGTAGATTTTCTCATTGGCATTTGAACTTGGTTTACCTTCTCAAAGTCCTCTAGTAATTTAGTGTGACAGCATTAGTGCTAGTGCCTTTGCTTCCAATCTAGTTCAACATGCTTGGAGCAAGCATATAGAGATAAATATACATTTCGTCTATGATCTAGTTCTCTCAGGCACACCTGATATCAGATACATACCTTCCTCTCAACAAATTGCTAATTTGTATGACAAAGGCTCTTACGCACACACAGTTTACTACTCTCAGGAACAAACTTGGGTTGTCAATTACACCCTCTCATTTAAGGGGGAGTGTTAGAACATGAGGATTAGTAGTAATTATCTGATTGGCATTATTTGTATCTAGAATATCCTATAGCCTTGTGTGTATTGATTTTATATATATTTGTTCCTTTTGTACCACCTATACATGTTTACATTTCATTGATTGTTTTGTAATTGTCTTGTACTATATATATCAGCAATATAGAGCCTGCCAGGATCAAATCCTTTTGGCTATTATTCACGTCCTTTTCTTTCTTCTTTTTATCTAATTGTTTGCTCAATGCATCTCTTCTTTACCATTAAAAAAATAATACTTTCTTTTTATTGTTTTCCTTATTATAGGGACGAATCAAAACTCACTCCAAGTATTGTCAACAACATAGTGCATAATGTTAACCTTAGTTGTCCAAGTTCACCACTAACAGATCTTGTTGGAATTGATGAGAGTTGTGCCAAGATCGAAGGTTAATGAAAAAAGCCCTAAGAACCATAATTTGAGGTATGGGTGGCATAGGCAAAACCACCATGGCTAAAGCTTTATTCACCAAACTCCCCTCCAAATTTGAGGGTTGATGCTTTTTGGAAAATTTAAGAGGTGTAGAAAGGCATGGATTGACATATCTATGAGATAAACTTCTCTTTGAATTACTAGAGGAAGAAAGGTCCTATCATAGGCCAACTAATGTTGCACGAAGTGCCCTTATTAAGAGGAGCCTAAGTTGTAAAAAAGTCTTTATAGTGCTTGATGATGTCAATAGTTGGAGGCAATTAGAATATTTAGCTCCATATTGTAATCATTTAAGACCTGGAAGTAAAGTTATTATTACAACGAGGGACAAGCAATTCCTTGTAATTGGAAGAGTCAATGAGATATATGAGGCCCACCCTTTGAGCGGTCACAAATCTGCAGAGCTTTTCAACCTCAAAGCCTTTGATACATACCATCTAAAAATTGGATATGAATTCCTCTCAAAGAGGGTTGTTGACTATACAAAAGGCATTCCATTAGTTTTGGTAGTATTAGGTTCATGTAGATCATGTCTTATAAATATAATTATTATGATTTCATTTCTTAATGCCCATAGTTGTTAATGTAATCTCTATCATATTGACTTAGAAATGCCCAACACTTCTAAAGTAAGTCAGGTCATTAACCAAATGTTTTACAATTCTTAATGATGCACTAGCAGAACTTTGGGATATTATTGATTTCAATGCCTAGTGTCAAAATACTTGATCAATAATGACCACTCCTAAGCAACCAAACTACTCCTTAATAGCTAGCTTCAATTTGACTTTGATACCACTTATTGCCTTTCTTTGACATTACCTAGTATTTGCCATATTACTTCCAATAAGGGTTTCCTGGGTTGCGTGAATTGGCAATTACTTACTCCAATTGAGAAGGTAATGTACATCTTGTTGATGATCGTTGAAGATGATCTTCAAAATATACAAAACGTAAAGACATAAAGAAACCTGGGACATACTCACGGCATGCTTCACAAGGATGAATAATGCAAAGCTTCACAGATTGGATAATGAATTATGGTTAGTTTCACAACAAGACATGACAATAAGTCAATATTTTAGCAAAGTACAAAAGTCCTATATAACCAGATTTCAAAATTAGAAGATCAATTACGACCTCTACAACTATTAGCATGAGTATGTGAGCCAAATTTTAAATACGCTAGTACAACTGTAGTTGAAGATGTAAGACAAGATAGAGAGTGAAATGAGAAAGAAGTAAATAAGTAAAGCGAGTGATGACATGAAGCGTGTGGTATGAGAGAGAAAGAGTGAGGTGATGTGAAAAAGAGGAGAAGAAAGAGGTGAGAGAATGTCATAAGGGTGATGCTGACTTTGGTGACGGAAAAGTGAAAGCCTTGTGGTGAATGTTATCTTTCTTAATTTGAAATAAATATTTATTTTCATTAAGTCCTTCTTTTCTTATCCAAACCTATGTCAATTACCCAGAGCTTTCTCCCCTCAAAATTTCAACAGTTTCCAACATTAGCATCATGTTTGGGGCAATTCTAAAAGCCAAATCTACAAAAAGTTGACTTTGTCACAAGCCGCGTTGTCATAAGCTGTTGGGTTCCACATATTGCTTATTGACTTATTGTTTTAATAAATTAATTAATTGATATCATTTGTAACAATAATTAATAGTTAGTCATGAATTTGTATATTAATAAACACTAATGGATGATTGCTATTTTGTTTTTCAAATGCATGATTCTATCATACCATCGCTAGAACTACATTTAATATATATTTCCGTTTTTCATCTAATATAACACACATACGCATGTCATCTTGTTTAGCTATTTTGTTGGCAACAGCTTATGCAATAAAAAATGTTTGTAGTTTCTTTTGAAAAGATTAAAATGTAAGGATAAATTAAAGTTGAAGTAAGTGATAGAAAGTCTTATCACTTAAATAAGTGATTAAGGATTCAAATTTTAGTTCTTATATAAGTAACAATTTAATTAAAAAGATTTACTCTTTACTCCTAATACCTCGGGAAAATAATGTCTTTGTTGAGCTTAAAAAAACTGTATAAGGGTGGAGAAGTAATTAGTAATGAACACATTGCAATGTGCATTAAATCAATGAAAAATGATAGAAAAATTCTATTAAAATATGTAAATGATAATAAAATTGTCATGAAATATCATAATTCTTTTCAAATTCTTAGGGATCTTTCTAACATTAATAATTTTTGCTGAAATGACTAAAATGCCTTCAATTTAAAATAAAAAAGTAAATATTAGAGACAACTTTAGTTTAAGCAATTATTACTTTTCTTCTAATAATGAATAGAATAGAACAAGCAATCATAACTTTTCATATACAATTTTTTTATTTTGCACAAGGAAATTTGTGATTGCTGGTTCCATTTTACTCATTGCTAAAGAAAAGTACTTCTTTTAATCTTATTTATAAATCATTTTTAATATGTTTTATTAAAATCAAGAAAGACCTTAAATTTTATTAACATTATCGTAACATTTAATAAATTTTCACCTCTATTCCTTACTACTGATAAAAAAATTATTTTTTAATAAGGGTAGAAAGGTAAAAATAAATATAGAAAATAATAAAGTAGTTTATAAATAGAATTAAAATTAATATTCTCTCTCTACCCTATAAATAAGACTGAAGGACTATTGCTTAAACTAAAATAGTCATTGATATTTACTTTTTTATTTTAAACTAGGATATTCTAGTTATTTCATTAAAAATCATTTATGTCATAAAAGTTTTTAAGGATTTGAAATTAATTATAACGTTTCATAGGATGTTATTATTATTTGCATATCTTAACAGATTTTTCTGCCATTTTCCCTTAAATCAAAATAGTCAACTCACATCTTTAGTATCCCAAAATGAAAGATCTACAAATCATGATAATGCATTAACAACTTCATCATTTTTTTTTAATGAACACATTTCGCGTGTGAGATAGATTGTTGATTATATGTATAATCACATTAAAGAACTTGAAAAGAAATTTATTCACAAACAATGACCAATATGAAATGCATTATTGTTAAAATGAGAACATAAATTTATTTTTTTTAAATGAGATTTGTTACTAATCCTTATCTAAGATTAAGTTTCTTACTAGATCCTCAAATATAATTCTTTCAAAATTATAACTTGTAAAATTTCATGCATTTAAAAAATTTGACTCTTGTAAATTTTAACAAGTTGCAAATCTTGAAAGTTATATATATATATATATATAATAAATGTAAAATTCTTAACATTTCAAACTTTTTCACACATAGAATTATATAACTTCTCTTTCAATACCAAAATGTCACTCCCCAAGGTACCATTGCAAAAATTTAATAATGCACAAGTTTATGATAAGGACATCATGTATACTACGAGATGAATGCCGCCTTCCCAGTTTGACAATTGAGAGTGGCAAGAGAAGGCAAAATAAATAAATAAAGCTAAGGAGGGAAGATCATGAGGTTTAAAGTATGATTAAGTTCCTCTCAGGAACTCCTGACTTTTGCACAGGCGGCTGGATTGATTTGATATTAGACAAAAGACATTAGTTTTTAAATGAATTTTATTGCCACTATTCATGTGAGTCCCCACTTCAACTAAACAATTATACATCATGCCAGATAAATCACCTTTGGCGAGTCTCAATCTCAAAAACCTAACTGTTCGCTTTGAATAGCTGATCATAGTATCATGGCTTTTGGTACTGCTTCTTCATCCTCGTCCTCACTTCCTCCCAAGAAACATGATGTGTTTTTGAGTTTCAGAGGCGAGGATACTCGTAGAACCTTCGCCAGCCATCTCTATGCTGCCTTACGCCAGAGAGGAATTCGGACCTACATAGATTATGAGCTCCCAAAAGGCAATGACATCTCGGACGCACTGATCCAAGCAATTCAGGATTCAGGTATAGCTGTGGTGATCTTCTCTGAGAACTATGCCTCCTCCAAATGGTGTTTGAACGAACTCGTCCAGATCCTTTGGTGTGGAGAGGTCCAAGGACAGCTTGTTATTCCTGTCTTCTATCAAATTGACCCATCTCATGTACGCAATTATCAAAAGGGAATTTACATGGAGGCATTTACAAAACACGAGAGAGACTTGAAGCTTAATCAATACCAAGTGAACAAGTGGAAACAAGCTCTTTCTATCACTGCAAATTTGGCTGGCTGGGATTCTCGAGCCTGTAGGTCAGTATATATAGTCTCTTCACTCTTTTTTTTTTTAACAGAAAAAAGGCCATTTTATTGATAGCTAAAAAAAAAATTACACTCATTAATATTCAAAAGCAATAAAACTAGAGTACAATCTACCAGGAAAGCAAATAAACACTTCCAGTACGACCTAGAAAAGCAATAAAGCAAGCAAACCAAAAACTTTACCTAATTCCAGTCCTGCTCTCATCCATTCCTCAGCTTCAAAGTCTTGAACGAAGCACTCGCCTTTACCCACCTGATCATCCACCAAAACCACAGAACGAGAAGTTGGTGCTGCAAGCAGCCACCCATTGGGCCACAACTTCCTTGCGCAAGAGGCTGCTAATGTCCCTTCGCTCTTTAAAACTTCATCTTTATTGATTAATTTGCGCTTAGCTAGCGCAATCAATTAATTCCATAGTTTTATATTAAAAAAGTATTGTTATAAGCTGCTTGAGAAACGTAAACTGCATTCCCTTCAGTTCTAATTGTAAAGCACTCTTAATTACCTCACTAGAACACATTGTCTGAAAATAAAATAAATTTTTAATTTCAATTTTATCTTTATTTAAAAGAAAAATTTTCAAATTTGCATTACATATATTCTTTCTCATAATTAATGATTTTAAATACCGATAATGTAAAAAAAAAAACATAATTAATACCCTATAGTTTTTCTTATACTAAGGACTAGAAAATGTTTTTAGAAGATGTTCTATAATAGAAACCAAAATGAATAGTTAATAAAGAATGGTTTTGGCCTTTTGGGGTATTCATGCATGTGATCCATATATATTTTCTCTATCTTTTAAGACCCTTCCAGTAATAATGTCATTGAAAAGTGTAATGTCTTGAACATTAACCACAACCAATCACAATCACTTATAGCCAATTAATTAATTTAAAAATATATTAAAGGAAGATAGAATCAACCTTGGCCATTTATAACTTCAAAAACTAAATATAAAACTTTTGTATAAATGGAATCCTAGAAATAACTTAAATTTGAAGGGAAGTATTAAAGGACATTAAAACGCTTTAAACCAGAGTAAGAATAGTTTAGGAAACATGGAAAAAGGTTATGCATTGAAAACAAATGAAAACGGGATCAAAAGAGTCATTTTTTCACAAAACTGCACCATCCATTATAGCCAAAAGACTTGTAAGGTTTCTCTTACTAATCTCTAAAGTTTAAAGTAACTAAGGGATTATCCCCTAAACTACGATTACCAAGTTCGTAAAATCACAAATTAGGATCCTAAGTTTTTAAAATTTAGAACTCTTCAAAATATCTTTACAAGTTAAAAATCAAAGTTTAATTAATATGTGGAAGCATGGTATCTCAAAAGGAGTCAAGGCATTTACTTAAAAATTGGAAACAGTAAATCAGTATAGAAGAGAGGCATGAGTTGTGACTTGCCACACATGCATCGCAGCTTGTGTGCCCCTGTGCCATGCACTGTAGTACATTGCATGTATTTGACAACAAATTTTATTGTCATTTGATAGCAACCGGGGCAAACTTCTGACACGCCCTATTTCTCCATTCGACGTCCAATTTAGATGATCTAAAGGTCTACAGAATGCTTTCTCTTAGTTCTAACAATGGCATTGATTTCACAATCATAGCATTTCTCAATCAAAATTTGGACATCTATTTCAAAAACCACACTTTTTTAATCTTATAACACAATATAGGTGTCCAATTCACATTTCAAGTGCCAAAAGCTAATTTCACACTCTATACCACACTTAAAACACCAAAATGAACCTATACAATACGCCATAACTCACAAATAATAAGTACAACACATTTTTAATGTTCAACCTCTTAATTTCAAAAACAAAAAGGGAAGCCTTAAATTCATAATTCATCCTAACAATCCATAATAATCATAATTTCACTAACTTCCTACTTACACTAATATTTTAGCCTTGTAGTAGATATTGCAATCAATATAAATACATTCTAGGGCTCAAAATGGACAATTTACTACTAACCAACACATAATTCAAGTAAGCACACATATAAACTCTTAGTTAGTAATGTCATCAATGAATGTACACATATAATATTCAAAATAAAGAGGCCTACAGTTATAGGAACAAAGTCCTAAGCCTCAGATTGTTTCCCTCTGGCTTGTCCTGTTAAGCTAGTTCTTGTAATATTGAAGATAATGGGGTGAGTATAACCACTTAGTAACTAAGATCCATCTAACTTATATTAAAGCATATCAATCAATTTAAATGCAAGTGGTAATATAATCTCATAATCATATAAAACACCCATTCACTAAAATACTATTCAAGTGAAATTCAATCTTATATTCACAATTTTATTCTATAACAAACTAGCACTTTTCACGTTTAAGAAGATTACAATAAGTGTTTTCACAAAGATTCATCGTAAGGGTCACAAAACAGACAACTATGTGCCCTTTTAATCATTATATGCATGATTACACCTCCCTTATATCCTCTTTATGCCTCTAACATGAAACCGTAGACTATAACACATTGGGATCATCTATACACTAAGACTACCCTAGCCAGACATGTATGATAGGTTACCCGACTAAGGTTTCCTGTCTCACTTGTGAGTCATAATTTCTCTTATTTCTTAAACTATAGGGTGTCATTCTCCTTAGACTAGCTTCCTTATTAAACAAGTGAAAAAACTAGTTAGGTTCAAGACTCCTCATTGAACAAGTAGGATAATAAGTATAAATAAATCCAGGCAAATCATCAAGCTTTGATGGAAGCCTTACCATGCAAGGTTTCGCTTACAAAATCACAATTAACTCCAATCTTGAGGTAATTAAGGGACTAAACCCTCAATGGATTACCAAGTTTGAAAAAAAAATACCTAAATAAGAACAATTCTCAAATCAATACATTGGGATCCTAAAATTTCAATATTAATAATCTTTAATAAACACTTGTTATGCTCAAATCAGAGTTTTAAAACAATGCAGAAGCTTGAAAATCACATAGGACCTAAAACTTTGAGTTTCAAAACTCAAAACTGTGTTTTGTGTAGAAAATGTGACATGTGTTGAGGCTAAAGACATGTGCACTGCGACTCACTCACCTCTGCGCCATGCGTCGCAGCACATTACATGAATTTGACAGATATCAGCTATCAATTTAACATATAACCTTTAGGCCTCACTGGTTTAGGCCTCCTTAGTCCACTCTCTTCATGATAATCATCTTTAAGATGGCCAAGTGCCTCCCTATCCAATCTCAACTCACCATGACTGCCTTCAACCCTCTCCACAGTCTTGTTAGACTCTTTGGGTCATTTCTTAAGGATTTCATTGTGTACATTGATGCTCTGCTCAATCCTCTTCATTATACTTCTGAGTTTGAACAATATGTTCTCATTGCTCGTAGTAGGTCTCGGTTGCTCTCTAGCTTGTCCTAAGCCTTGACCCAACTTAACATGCTTGCTTGAGACATTCTCCTCTCGTACCAAGACTTCCCGCTCTTGTCTTGATATATTTGCTGAGATGTTGCCAACTTGTTTGCACCATTCTCCCTTCTTAAGGATGGAAGTTATCCCATAAAAGAAAAAGAATTAGCACTAGCTCAATAGGGGAAAAGAGCATGTGTATAATGTTAATTGCTAACTTTCTATATATACAAATGCACAATTCACAAGCAAACTCCTGATTCACAAATCCACAGTCTAGTTCTTATAATCGAATAAACTGATACCAAGTTGTAAATTTTTCCTTACTAAACCACAATTAACTCCAATCTCGAAGTAATCAAGGGACTAAACCCTTAATGGATTACCAAGTTTGAAAAAAAAATTACCTAAATGAGATCAATTCTCATATTAATACATTGGGATCCCCAAATTTTAACATTAAAAATCACATAGGACACAAAACATTAAGCTTCGAAACTCAAAACTGTAGAAAACTTGACATGCACAGCGGCTTACTCATCTCTGTGCTATGAGTGGCAGTGTGAGATGCCATGTGCCGTAGCACATTGCACGAATTTGACATATATTAGCTGTCAATTTGATAACACAAGGAGCGAATTTTAAATGCATTCCAAATCTTTGTTTGATGTCTGATTGAGGTGGTTTTGGTGTTTACATGAAGTTTTCTCCTAGCTCTAGCCAATGGCACAAGTTTCACACTTAAATTCATTTTCTACAAAAAGTTGGATATCAAAACTCAATTTACCACTTTTTCACAAAAATCTCACAATAATGGTGCCCCAATTCAACCACAAGTGCCAAAAGCCTACAGAACCTCTGACCATACTTAATAAACTTTAGCAGACTCGTGTAACACACCATACACAACTAAAAAAATAATTTTAAAATTACCACTCAACCCCAAATTCATAAAACATAAGGAGGAGGGAAACTTTATACAAAACTATCATTTTCATATCAAATCATTCAAAATACACATGTTCCTATTTGTACAAGTTTTTTAACCTTATTTATGGGTTTACAACTAAAACTCACTAACTCAGGGCATAAAATACACGAGTTGTATGCTATAATAATGCAAGTAGTACAAAATATCATATGAAACCTAGTTGACAATTGCATCAACATTTATACACATAAAACAACAAGGAGAGGCATACAAACAGATTATTCTACAAATCCTATGCCTCGGCGTGTGTTGCCCGACTTGGATTCAATGAGCTAGGCCCTGAAAATATTAAGAATTGAGATGTGAGTGCAACCACTCAGTAACCAAGTTTTACCTAATTTATATAGTTGCATATCAATTATAAACAAATGCAAATAGGCAAAATAATAAATATATAATGCATATGGTAAGCTTAGTCACAGCTCACAATACTAATAATAATGTGGCTGAGCCTTAAGCACGAATAATCTCATTAAATGATAATGCACATATTGGGGTCACAATAATACTAACCATGCATCCCTAACACATACTGAACCACAATAATACTAACCATATGGTCGAGTTTAAATGTATGATCAAATGCCAACCTTATACCTTCTTGTTACTTCTGATATGAAAATGATGGCTATCACATAGCTACTTATTTCACAGACTAACTTAGCCTTCCATTTTTGAGGAATTATTAGGCCAGGGTTAACTCACTCACTTATGTAATTTGGTTTCTTTTAATACTAACAATCACGGAGTGTTGTACCCCTAACATAACCTCCTCATAAATTAGTAGAGACTAGTTAGGTTCGAGTAGTGAGAAGTCTTAAATTAACCATCAGAGACTGCTACCACCTGATTCTAATAGTTGGTGCCAAGGCGAGTTCCTAATTTTAATAGTCACTGCCAATGCCATATGGATTTACTAACTACGCTTCTCCTTAGGCGAACTCCCGCCCATAATCATGCTATGCACATGTCATGTATAAATGCAAATATGACTTAATTCACAACTAATACAAATTCATATCAATCTCTCATTCTTAGTAGACCATAACCAATATATCACATGTAGAGTATTTTTAAAATATCACTTTTACT